AATCTGCCCCAGAAAGAAAAAGGTGAATATGAATATTTAAAGAGGGGTGGGGTGATTTGGTTTTGGTTTTTTTATACAAGTTTGAGATTTCTTCTCGTCCTTCAGTAAGGTTAGCGTTCCTAAAATAGCTTGCAGCAAATCAGGAAGCACTACTTTTAATCGTACTACTGCTAGTGGTATTAAGACCCAAATATCTTTTAACACCACCACTTCCCCTCCCTGGTTTGAAATTCACAGCCTTCCTGAGGAGCTGTACAAAGTCTCTGTCTAAATAACAGCATGCCCGCAGTCACCAGCTGGCTGCGCTTCATGAGCCTGTGGGGAGAAAGTGGAAGGTATCAGAGCTGTTGTACCAGCTTGGAAAGCTTATCAGTGCCCACGGGAAATCAAGGGATTTCTTAGATGTCCATGTCTGCCTGGTTCCTTTGCTCCACTACAGCTCACAAGGGCTGTGACAATCCTCAGCTACTCAGCGTAGGCTGAGAATGTTTTCTTTGCAATAGTTTTGGCTCAATTGTGTACCCCGAGCTCTTTAAAGGCAATGCTGCTCAGCAGTTGCTGGGAAGGCAGAGCCCTGCCTCCATCATTAAAGCACCATAAAGATGTTCCCATTAAAGACAAGGACCAGTTCTTCCTTCTTGCAGGTTAATGGCTTCACGCGCTTGCCTGATCGTCACCTCAGCTCTGTCCTACAGGGCCCTAGTTCATCGGGGCTTCGGGACAACTGCTGCCAGGCTGCCATTCTGAAGCGCCACTACCAGGCAAATAAAAGAGCTGAGCTCCTAGTAGCGAGTCCTTTGCTTCAGGTTAATACAGCCTGGTTTTTAAATCATGATATTAAGGCTTCTGGCATCTGTATTTGTGGCAAGGTCCTGCTTTGAACAGCCAGTGGATTGGGTCAGAGGGATCCCATGCAGCTTCCTCATTCATGCCTGACTCGGCCCATGGGCAGGGAGGATGAGCTCTCCGTACTGTCCTTCAGGATCTTGCCAAGAGAGAGGGGGAAGCGTCATCAACCCTATGGAAAATTTCACATCTAACAGAAGAGATCAAGCTTATTTTATTTTATTTCCCATATTGTCTCAGCCGTAGCCAAACAAGCACCTAGATGTCACTTGGAAAAATCATCAACGGACATCAGGTTCTGACTTTTTATCGTATTTTCCTGGTGAGAATAAGAGCATCTGCAATTTTTTTATCCTATGGCTCATTCTTTGAAATGCATAGGGCAGGATTATACTCTGCTCTGGCCAGTTTAGTCTTCTTCAGACATTCAAGGTAATTGTAACATTCTTATGTACCAAAAAAGGCAGAAAAATATTCTCTCAGGAAATGCTACTTTGTCCCACTGGAGAACATGCTGATTTTGGAAAAAAACCTCACACGTGTCTTCCGTTAGTCAAGATGGAACTTTTCCATTCTCTGTCTTTAGATGTGACTTTATGTTAACAAATGTGCTTTTAATTGTTATAGAAAGCAAACATTCTTACTAGCATCAGACTGTTCCTTAGTAGAGCTGACAACATCTTTGTTCTTGTGATGGTTTGAAGTGGAAAGAAGAGTGGGAATGCAGGGATTTCGCAGGGACAGGGTATTTCAGATTTTTGTCTCTTTTTCACACTAAAGGAATGAATGTTATCTCTAATTTACTTCAGCGTACAGCATGAAGATGAGCAGATGCCAGTCCCTGCGGAGCCTCTTTATCATGTACTTCTGCGTGAAGGTTTGCATGATTCCAGGGCAATGTTTTCTGTGGATCCTTTAGCCTGTGGCCATTCACAAGGAAAAGGAATGCATTTCCCAAGCCATTCTTTGTCCAAAGCAACGAGTTCTGCTCTCTGTTTCAGCAAGCATAGGAAATTGCTTCCACTCACAAAATTTGCCTTGCCAGACAAAAATAAATAATTAGAAACCAAAGGGTTATTCCTAGGTTTTTGAAGTCCAGGTTGAGTTCATAGAGCTGGCAGGTAGAAAAAACGGCGTATTAAATTTATAGCTGGCATTAAGATTTGAAGTGCTCTAAGGAAATACTCATAATGATATTTATGTTTCTAGACAGTTTTTAGTAACGTTCAGACAGAAACATCTCTTTGAACGTACTAGATGGCATCCAAACCTACAAATGTTACAGTCCCTTCCTTAAGAATTACACTGCAAATATTACTGTCCAGGATGGCTTTTCTTGGAGGCATTTTTTTCTAGTTTCAAAACTCACAGTAAGGATTAGATTATTTTCCTCAACCTTAAAGATAATTTGCAGATAAGTAAAGAGTGAGATACTAGTTTTACTTATCATTCCCTCCTGTTTGTAAACTTCCTTTCAGTGAACACCGACGGTTCTGTGCATGTCTTGAGTAACTGGCACCTTTAACGCTTGTTTAAAGCCATGGGCATTTAGTCTTCTTGACAAACGCTCACAAGTCCAGTCCTCCTGACATTATTGCAGCTCGGAACAGGCCAGATCCTGCAAAACGGCGTGCCATGCTGTCTGAACTTACCTGGCCTCACGAGTGCCCGTTCTGCCTCACGGTGTCAGTTCGAAAGGGCCTGCGAGCACACGTTCAGGAATGTAGGGCCTGTGTAATCAAGCCCTAGTTGCTCAGTCCACCTCTGTCGTAGCCAGCAGTGCCAGTACGACTGCGGTAATGCTGGGCAGTTAATGACCAACCTCACAGACCTGATCACTAGAGCTGCTGGGCTCTGATTTTAGTTTTATTATTATTTTGTTTTTCCACCAGAATTTATGTAACCAGCTATGTACCTGTTTCATACATGGGGAAGCCACAAACAATGGTAAGAAAAGAGACATTCTCTGAGGGTCTTTTTGGGGTTGGATTTTTCTTTTTTTTTTTTTTTTAGAAACTCATTGAGAATCTGAGAGTGGTTAATATGATTCAGAACTATTGGTCTTTCAAGGTCTTTCATCCTACTTTTATAGGTCCTGAAGGTTTAAGAGTGTATATATAATATATGGACGTTTACTATGCACTTATCACACTGCAGTATCTATCAACAAAATAGCAGTTGGTAGATATGTTCTAGCATATGTATTTTACTTCAAGTGAACATCCGTAAGGTGTCTTTTGCAAACACCTTGAGCAACTAAGACATGTGCTGAGACATTCTTAGGATCTTCTAGGAAGATAACCAAGGTTAAGCCCGTTGCTGCAACCTTGAAGGGGCCCTTTCCAGATACTGCATGTAGCACTGGGCACAGTGGGCGCAATAGTCGAGGCATTGCCACCACAACCAGCGTGCCTCCACAGCCACCACCTCCCTGCTCCTCTCCCACTTATTCCAGGAGCCTTAACAGGGGTGTCCTACGCCCCTGTACAAGGGGTGCCTCAGGAGACTTGCAAGCAACCAGCCACTCATTCTGTTGGCAACATCTGCTGAGATCAGTGCAAATCTCAATAAAGAAATGCACATGCAAAATTCCTGTGCGAATAAAAAAAAATGTATTATTGGTTTTAGAAAACTCAAGAACTTTTGCAAATATTCAGGAGCTCCATCTGCTGGCAGTATTTGCTAACTATTTGCATGGATGCTGAGTCCTCATAAAACTTTAAGAATAATAGCTTTAAGTCTATTATAAAGCTTACAAATGTTTTTGTAATATTACCTCTTTAATTTTAATTTCAGGAGCTGCCTAAACATTTGGCTAATTTTATGCTTGTTCCCAAGAACCTGTGCATCAAATCCTTCAAAACCCAATTTTTTACTGATACTGGCTGATGATCTTGGTATTGGAGATGTGGGTTGCTATGGCAATGATACAATAAGGTAAGAATGTATTCGACGAGATAAATTATCCCTTCCTGATGAATTTCAGTGGAAAAAAACACTGATGACACTCAGTATTGGAAAATTCATGATTAATGGACTAGTTTATCTAGATACATTTCTTTTCAAACCACGTGCAAAATAATGTTCTACAGTAATTCCTACTGGAGTAATAATTACACAGGCATGCTTCAGCAACTTTCTTGGACTTGCAATTTTCAGCATATATGGTCAGAATCTTGCAAATATGCCCATGCACTGTATTTCTCAGGCACATGTATAACTTCCCACAGCTCCGCGAGCTGTGGAAATATCAAGGACTGAGATTAGGATTTAATATCAGCTAACAACTAAGGATTGCATATATATCTTGCGTTTACCATACCTATTATTGTCTTGGAAATTGTGTTGTCCTGTGTCTATTAGTGGAATCTTTTTCACTAAGCTGCCTGAGCTTTTGATATGGGATAGGCCTGAAATACTTTTTCTTTTTTTTTTCCTTATTTTTTTCTTCTTTTTAGTTATTAATAAAACCACATTTATCCATGGAAAATTCATTTCTGAGGAGTCAAGGTACCTCAACAAATAAATAAGACAGAGCTTTCCTATCTGAGTTGTAGATAAACAGAATGTTTTGTAAATTTGGTGGTGATATCCTTGACAAAACTAGGAGGAGCGGGATACCACGAACTTCTGTGTAATACATTTTTATCAGAGAAGGGATTTTCCTCCTTAGGACCCCTAACATTGATGGCCTGGCGAAGGAAGGAGTGAGACTTACTCAGCACATTGCTGCAGCTGCTGTCTGTACTCCAAGCAGAGCAGCTTTCCTGACTGGCAGATACCCCATCAGATCAGGTTGGGCCTCTCGCTACCGGTTCACTGCAGTCTGTCTAGCCATTATTGCTATTAAAAAAACCCTTAAATAAACCATTTTAAAGAGTAGTTAGTCTAAGGATTTGGAGGTTCAGTGAGATGGGCAAAAATAAAGATGACTAGATTTTGTGATTGGTTTCTGTGGGAAAATCCCCACATAAAGCACATTTAAGGTGGCTAAATGACAATGCAGAAATGGATGAAAATCCAAATGGCACAAACCACCCAGAGGTAGAAACATGAAGAAGAAAACTGTGTAAACACTGTATGTTCAGTGGTACTAAGATTATATTAAGTGAAGTGTAATATTTTGAATATCCTGGTAAACTTTTTCATAGTGAAATGTGTCAGACTGTGGAATAGTTCTCAACAATAATGTTTTAAAACAGACTTACTCTAGCCATGTCAAATTCATGACAAAAAGCTCCAGCCACTGCATAAGGCAGTAATAATCAGCATAGCTCCTCTGATGCTATTCTGACTTGCTAAAGGAGAAATGTAATCATGAACTGTATGTTTCAGAAGTGCGTACCCCTGACTCTGTAAGCTTTTTGTTCTATATAAAACTTCTTTTCTTCCCCTCCACCCCTTTTCTTTCTTTAACATTATGTTTTGATAGAACTTTTTTGGTAAGAGGTTGCTTAATGTCCAAACGTAGGCATCTTAGTACCTTTTGTAGACAACCCAGCATAGCTGAGGCATCTGCATTGGACGAGCAGATAATGACATGGGACTTGGAGGAGACATGGTTCTGGGGGTCAATCAGAATATCCCAGGACATACTAAATGGCTTATAAAAAGGCACTAGGCTTGGGCAACTGAGTCCCACTCATTAGAAAGAACAATCTGAGAAGACTGAAAATCTGAAATACAGTTTGTTTTATTTTAAAGACTGTTATTCCTCTCCAGGCATGGCCTCAGGCACTCAGCGGCAGGTTCTCTTTTGGAACGGGTGTTCTGGTGGGCTCCCACCAAATGAAACTACTTTTGCCAGAATACTGCACCAGCAAGGTTATTCTACAGCACTTGTAGGTATGAGACATAGCAACTTGCCACCTTTTCATTGCTTGTTATTCAAATGAGGCTGCTTCTGTAAATGTTTTTCTTTGCTAGAACGTCTAGGGTCAGTTAAACTAGAGTTTCTCGTATGTGTAACTTTCAAAATCAGCAGGGTTTTTAGAATGCCATCCACAAGCCCCTATGTCAGCACAGCGTATCTGATAAATCCAAAATGAGGATGTATGGAACGCATAGATGTGCACTGCAAACAGAGGTAAACACAAAGGAAAGAGTCTTGTTTGTCCAGTACAGATTGTTTTAGGAAGAACCAACAGAGATACCCACCGATCTATTCAAGCAGAAAAATGTTGTCTGTCAGTTGGTACCCAGGCACCACAGTGGTCTTCGTTATATCTGGTGGCTAGATTTTCTGTTATTTATGCATCCTGCTTATTATCACAGTTAAGACTCTAAAAGTGCCTTACTTTCTGCAAAAAGAAATTCTACCAAAAAAGCTGAGAGAGTCCCATTGAATTCCGTGGGGTTTGGATCAGAATACATGTCCAAAAAAGAAAATCCTATTAACTCTTTTGCTAATTTTGCCTGAAGAGTGATTAAAGGCTGTGTCTTTCAAGCACCTCCCATTTTTAAACTCTTTTTGAAGTAGTCAAAGGCATCATGTGCTTAATTGTAATTACTGTGATTTTTCACACCTCTGCTCAGCTCCAGCACACTGAGGTGTCATTTAGTTCCTAAACTGAAGCGAGTCTTAGTGATGTGCTGACTTCACACAAGCCTCTGCAAAGGGGTGAACTTTCGCTAGCTCGCTGCAGGCTGGTATACCTTAGAGAGTAAACTACATTCATATAGACGAGCACAAGGCTGGTTAGCACTTCTCAGAAGTTATTTGTCTAGCTAATAGCCCCTAAGCCCATGGTTGTAGACTGTCTGTCCTTCAATGTCAGGATAATTACACCGCTCTGTAATATAACTTCATTAAGGTTCATTATCAGCGTATGACATATTCTGATAGGTATAGTTGTACTGGATAATTGGAATAGCCTATTTTTGGTACCCATTTTAGGATGAATATAGACACATAGAGCCTGTATGTACACCTTCTTCCTGAAATTTGTTCTTGGACTGTGAAGGTCAGATGGAACTTGTGCGTAAATTAGTTCATCTTTTTGCACTTAGCTGTTTCTTTTGGCACAAGGGTTTCTCTGGTTTCTCCCTATCAGGCCACGCATTAATGGATGGCTACTTTATCATGTGGAAAATAATAAGCACCGACTATTGCAACCCTATTTGTTCTTATTCAGGGAGGCGTCCAAGCTGGACCAGTGCCCTTACATGGAATTTTAACAGATAGGTGAGGAAAACCAGCCATTCTAGGCAGATACAGTGCCAGTGCACGATTGCTCCCTGAGAGTCTCTCCCCATTCCACACCAGCTCCCCCCTTGGCTGCACTTTAACTGAGGAGTGCAGCCACTCTGTTAGAAATACAGGCAGACACAGCCAAGAGTAATGATGTTGGATTTACGATCTTTGTTTTATATTTTCAGGGAAGTGGCATATGGGTGTGAACTGCAAATCCCGTCGTGATCACTGCCACCATCCTTTAAATCATGGCTTTGATTATTTTTATGGCATGCCTTTTACCCTTTTGAATGAGTGTCAAGGCACAGATGACCCTGAACTGGCCAAGTCTTTGCAAGACACATACTGGCTTTACACACAGACGATCATCCTTGCAGTGCTTACTCTTTTGATTGGAAAACTTACCAAGTTACTCTCAGTAAAATGGAAAATAATCATATGTCTGGCCATCTGCAGTCTCCTGTATTTCATCTCCTGGTTCTCCAGCTATGGTTTCACCAAGTACTGGAACTGTGTCCTGATGAGAAATCATGATATCACTGAACAACCGATGAATCTAGAAAAAACTACTTCTAATATGCTGAAGGAGGCAGTTTCATTTATTGAGAGGTAACCAACAAATATTGTATCACATTTTAAGGATTTCAAAAAACAATGTGATTACACCACGATGTTAGGCAGCTGGCACGCTGAACTACCTGTCCTGGTGCTGGCCAGTAATTTGTTGTTTTCTGGCATCCTCCGACCTGTCAGCATCCAACTGCTGTCCTTCGTCTTATACATAGCTTGTCAGCTCCTGAGAAAAAAGAAGATGAAGATGATTTATTTGTGTGTGTTTTTGTTTTGTTCGTCTAATATAAAGGGGTCCTAGCCAAGGACTGGGCCTTCTGCCAGTAGGAATAGAAAAAATATCTTAGCCTGATGAATGGACTGTCATAGAAAGTGTCATATGAAGTTAGTATTTTACAAACATGAGGGTGATAGTGAGTTTTTGTTTGTTCTCCAAGGGTGTCCTTCATTTACAATGCTATCACTAGCCTCAAATGGCATTGAACAAGCCACTAAATCTTTAAAAGTATTCATGTGTCAAGTCTGGGCATATCCCTGAATGAGATTACATTATTTCTGTCAGGGTTTCTTAAGGAAAATTTGGGGTAAGATAAGTCTCTTCTGTAAAACTTAGAGCATAGATAATCTCAGGTTCCTAGGATGTCCTGCCTGGCCTGATGTTAAAGGGATATGGTTCCCTTCAAGTGCAGTGTCATATCTGCCTCTTCCATGTGGATGTCTCAGATGCTCAGACACATCCATGTTAATTTTAAGCAAGCGAGTCCTATTCTCCTTACTTCTGAGAGTGTGCCAGTCTTTTGGTTGTGAACTTTCCTAGTTATTTATTTCATGTTCTACACATATCTAGTTTGGAACCAGAAAAAGAAAGGGTCCTTTACTATTTTGGTCTTAATACAGAAGCAAAAACTTTGAGGGGTGCTTTAATCCTCTCTGTCTCCCAAAACCTCAAAAATGCAAAGATACCAAAATCAAAAGTTTTCATTTTAGATCCAAATAATAATTTTTATTGAGATAGTCGCTACCATGTCACTCTTGTATTTTGGATTGAGTGACAGTTTGCAAAGAAATGACTGTTGTTTTCTTTTCTTTCAGAAACAAGCATAGACCGTTTCTTCTCTTTGTTTCCCTTTTACATGTTCACACCCCTCTTGTTACCACAGAGAAGTTTCAGGGAAGAAGCAGACATGGTCTATATGGAGATAATGTAGAGGAGATGGACTGGATGGTGGGTAAGTGGTCGTCTTGAAGAAAATCCTTAATTTATTTGGATGTGGAAAAGAAATTAAAGGGCTGGTCACAGAACTCCTTTTTTGTATATGACAGATATCAGTGAACTTGCCTTGGATACACAGTTAGCTCCAGAGATTGCCATTCCATTACCACACCTCTTTTTTTTCTTTCTCAAGAAAAAAGCCCAAACTTTTCTTGTGAGAAATTGTTCTTTTTTTTTTTCATTTACACACTTCTGTGCTGCAGTGTTAAATGCAGTCAAATAATCAAAAATGTGTTTGATCATGTGGTTAATCAAAATGTATGACATTTCTCCAGCTCTATCAGAAGATATGACTGATGCTGCTGATGAATATTACGTTATACGGTGGTTGTTTTGTGTACTTGTTTATTTTTATCAAAGAATAGCCCTTGGAGCAGAAACCAGAACTCCTTCCTAGCCAAAAGGGCAAGTTAAAAAGCTATGGGTTTCACTTAATAAATTGTGTGAAGTCAGTATATCATGAAGTCTCACGTAGGTCTAAATCTAGGCTCTGAGTGCTAATTAGCCTTACTTAGTAGTCCCTTTCTGCTTCAGTGGGAAGGAGGGAGATAGTTCCTGTTTGTATTTAGTCAAAAGTAAAGACCCTATTGACAAAGTATTGACCTCCTGTCTAAACTAGGATTCAATCCCCGAAACTTTTCTTCTTCCAATAACCTTGATTACAAAATAGTATTTTGAGAGTAAAGACCCTATTGACAAAGTATTGACCTCCTGTCCAAACTAGGATTCAATCCCCAAAACTTTTCTTCTTCCAATAATCTTGATTACAAAATAGTATTTTGAGAGGAGCCCCATTGCTTCTGATGGGTAGGCTGAGAACATTTGTGAGATCGAATTGAACCAGACGACTCTGCCATGCTCCTCTTGCGACTTTTTGGCACCAGTCACCTTCACACACAAGCTACACAAGCATAGCTGGATAGCAGAAGCCCAATGGTGTAAGGAACATGCCTTATACAGGCCAAACAGGATGGTTGCCACTGAGGACAGAAGTCTCCAGGGTTGGACAGCTAAGAGATTTGGGGTCTAATTCAGAACCAAGACGCCTAGACTCAATCTAAACTCTTTTAGGGGGCAGGTGTCTATTTTTTAGGTAAAGTCAATAAGTAATTTGACAAAGGAGACACAGGAAGTCTGTAAAGGAGAAGAGATTGAGCAAAAGAGCCGATCGCTGGCTTATGCTTTTGCCTTGCATGCTTCAGCTTTTGCTGCTGCTTCTGCAGCTCTGGAAGCTGCTCTTGGTGAATATATTTGATGCAGTAGGTGATGAGGACAAGCAATCAAAGATAAATCATATTCTGTATAAACATTTGATGCTATCGGTACCAAAAACATTCCTTATAAAGTTAGGTTTGAATTGCACTCCGTGGAGTTTGCCCATTGACATCAGCATAAGATTTTGGTTGATAGTATGCAGCCTGATCTCAGAGTCCTTGTTCAGTTCCTGGTGAGACGCAGCAGTTCTCTATGACTGGGAATCTAGGCAGTGCCATTATTTAAGCTTTTCAAGGTGCTTGAGGCTGCATGATGGAGACAATCCTTGACTCAGAGAACTTACAGCGTAAAGCTGGCAGTATTCTGAGTAGGTTGAATAAAAGGATCATTCATTAAATTATTTTCCAGTTGGTTTTAGTTTTTATTTTCCCGTTTTAAGACACCACAAACAAATTTTGGACACGTTCCGCGGCTTTCTGTTGGGCTCTTATTATTTCTGTAATGCAAAATTAATCTTTGCATTGCTTGTGATAGCTCATAACAGAACTCATTCAGGTAAATGGAAAGACTTGGTCTTCACTGAATTTTGAGTCAAGGTCTAAAAAAATCTAACTGCGTGTCCAGACATAATTATCATGTTTTCCTCTGTTTATAGGCAGGCTTCTGGATGCTATTGACAAAGAAGGCTTGAAGAATACCACATTCGTTTATTTTGCATCTGATCATGGAGGATCCTTAGAGGCTCACAGAGGAAATGCTCAGTTGGGTGGATGGAATGGGATCTATAAAGGTAAAATTTTGGTAGTGTGTGTGTGCATAAGACTTCATCTTAAAAAGAAAATGACAGAATAAAATACATCCAGATAGACTATATTTACTAAACTGAGATGATCATCTTGAACTGCAGGGCTGGTGCAAATTCAGGGCACCATCTATTCATCTTTCAGCCCCTAGATAGGATCACTTTCACCAAAGCTGCTCCTGACAGATATATTGTCTTAACCTATTCATAAAGACCTTCAGTGATTTCCCAGATAACCCAGTTTCCATTGTCTGTGCTACTGGAGGTTTTTTCCTGGTACGTACCTTGGATTTCCTTGCTGCAGTTTAAGCAACAGCTCTTCCACTATTCACCAATCCACAGAGAAGACATTCTTCTTTTCCTCCTTGTGACAGCCTGTTGCTGCAAGGTCATCACGTATTTCCATGCTGTTATGTTCCCCCTCGTTCATCCTTTCTTTTGACTCCACTACACTTGTAGCCCCTTCTAGTTCCATGTTGTCTTTAAATATTGTGAGCATGCTATCCAATGCATAACCCAAAGCACTACTTGAAGATGTTGTAGCATCACAGACCCATAGAGTATCTCAAGTTGGAAGGGACCCATAAGAATCATCGAGTCCAACTCCCTGCTCCTCACAGGACTACCTAAAACTAAATCATGTGACTAAGAGCGTCACCCAGATGCTCCTTGAACTCTGACAGGCTTGGTGTGCAACAAAGTGACCAAACACCCTTTCAGTGAAGAACCTTTTCCTAATGTCCAATCTGAACTTCCCCAATGCAGATTCAGAGCACACTGTTTAGACTCTCACTTGAAACACCCTTCTGTTTTTCACGTTAGACAATTATCTAAGTCAGCACTGGCAGATCGCATGATGACTGTTTTCTTGATATAGTTTTCCAGTTTCTCATCTGTCATGTGCATGTGTCATCTAGACTCTCTATGACTGGCTTGCGACACACTGTCAAAAGCTCTATGGAAATGAAGGTCTATGGTGTCTCTTGCATGTGCTCCCTCTAGACTGCCGAGCCTCAAAAAGCCACTGTGACAGCTTGGGCAGCTTGGAACTTATTGTATAATGAAGCCTGAAAACTGCTTCCATCACTGATTTTCCTACAGAAGATTTGCATGTCTTGATCTTGCTCAGCGCCAAAATGCACACTGTGTAGTAGCAAGTTACTTGATGAGCCACACAAGCAATGTTTGATACAGCCAGGATCTCATCCAGGAACAGTCCTAAATGCTAAATTAGCCTTCAGTTCTGGATATGAAGTTTCCGTACCAGAAACGGATGCAAGAAGGCCAACAGGCTCACTTGGATAGCTCAGAACCTAACCTAGGGAATTCACTTCTACTAGCCCAACACAAGTATATTAGTAACGGGAGAGTCCAGAGAGGAAAGGTGAATGTGATTAGACAGACATTTCAGTATGAGATGACAATGATGAAATCATGCCTGCACAGAGAGGAGACAAGAGGAGATAGAATATCAGTTCAGATATTAATAACAGAAAGGCACTCCCATTTATGTCCACATACAGCAGAACAGGGGGCATCCCAGTGAAACTAACAACAACTCAGAAAAGATGTAAAAATGTAGTTTAATTCATAAATATCTGTAGAAATCACTGCTGCTATTGCTAACAGGATATTAAAAACTACAAGATAAAAAAGCCACGCGTACGAATAATGAGAACAGCTGCTAATGAAAAACAAAGCATGAGATACTGTTATCTTATACAACAGAAAGGTTATTGCACCAGCAGCTGGACTTCCCCTGTTTATAATCTGTCATGCCACCTTGTCAGCCTTTAAAACCAAGCTCTGGGAACCTTGCCTCTCAGCTGTAACTATGAGCACACCTCCTCCATAGCAAAGTCCAGCAATACTAGGCAAAGCCAGAGGCTAATACAAACTACCATTCAGCAGCTGATTTATTAGCTGACCTAATAAGATAGCTTCAAGTTTTGTTTGCCAATTTTTCTACAACACTTCCTAGGAGTTACTTGTCATTTCTGCCCTCAATAGGAAGAATAACAGCAAAGGTCATATAGGTCCCTGAGTTTCAACATTTTTACAATTACTTTTTTTTCCTAACTGGACCCTCAACTTGGAGTTCTGGCTTTAAACCACATTGTTTCATTAATATCCCCATCCTTGACATCTGTAATTCATACCTGTAATTAATGAATGGTTCTCACTTTGAAATACTGTTCAAAACAATGAATATTTTGACTTTTATAAGAGAGCCAGTTGCATGGTGGAACTAGAGGAATACAAGTTAAGAGAGACTCTTTGGATTAAGACAACTTCAACAGAAACTTAGGTGGAAAGTCTTCATCGCTGCAGAGTACTCCCCTATTTACTGCAGGGGTTCCACATTCTTCCATTTGAGACCACCCCAGAGCATCCCTGGGACTGTAAACTCCTGGAGAGTGATCACACATTATCCTAAAACCCCTCACTGTTCTCCAGGACTGCAAATCTTTTTGTAATATTCCTGCTGCCTCTGGCTGTGAACTATCTGACAACCAAGCTCGCACTGTGCTAATCCCCCTCCATCAGGCACCAAGTGGGGCTGCAACCTCTCATAAACTCCAGTCAGATTTTGCTTTTTATTAGTAACAGACTTTTTTCTTGTGCTTGTTATTAGGGAGTGTGGAGAATATTCTCCGACATGACATTCAATTACAATTATGGGTGAGAATGTCTTCTCAGGTATCAAAGGGTGGAATTGTTCCTCCTCTGCCAAAAATACTGCTTAGTAGCAAGTTGCCATGTGTGCCACCCAAGAAAGCAGTGTAAAATAAAGCAGTTAATGATACTTATTTTTGCACTGTAGTCATTCTACTGTTCTCCAGGATTTAGTGGGTTTTCACTAAAGTTATTTTGAATATTCTGAGAGTTTTAAAACCTTTTGTTCTACATCCATAATAAGTGTCTAATATCTTTTATTCTTTTATCTCTTTTGGTACTTTTTTCTCCCCTTTAACAGGTGGAAAAGGAATGGGAGGCTGGGAAGGAGGGATCCGCGTCCCAGGAATAGTTAGATGGCCAGGAGTGTTGCCTGCAGGGACAGTTATCAATGAACCGACAAGCCTTATGGACATTTTCCCAACAGTGGTTCACCTCGCTGGAGGGACAGTGCCTCGGGACAGGTAAAAAGGTGGCTTTATAAGCCATAGTTGCTCCCCTTTTTTGATTTAGATAGCTGCTGACTGTATATGTCATGCATCGTAACAACCACAGATTTAATTCCTGTTTGTTTCTTAACCAGGCAGTTCTCTAGCTTACTTTCTCTGTAGCTTTTCCCATCTTGTCTGCAGACACAGATATTCACAAAGCTGGTTCACCCTGTTAGAGCACTAGGACGGGCCCTTTCCAAGACTAGGAAGCCTGGCTCTGCATGAGTAGGGAAGGGCACATGGCCTGCATTTGGCTGCCAGTACATAAGAAGTAGCTTCCTCGAGAGCAAACAATTTGTAGCATCTATGTTAGACTCCTCTAAAGAATATAAGAAAGCATGGGTGGCTAAACCATTTGAGCAAAAAGCATAGGAGTACTGGTGGTATGTAACTGAGGCAACTGTTAGTCTTTTTTTTTTTTTTTTTTTTTTTTTTTATGAAGCCTCAAGCTCACAGAGCTATCAGTGACTTCCATTTCAGGGAGCAAAATTAAAAGCTGTGAACCATGCCTTCACTATGGTTATCATTTACTTCCAGGAAACTCAGAGTAATAGTGATTTACCTCTCCAGGCAAGATGTGTGAACTAGCTGTAATTGCAAAAACTGCTAGTAACTCATCTCCACCCATCCACACAATTAAAAATCTCAGGGCTTATTAGCTAAACGGTAGTTTGGTTTAGAATGACACTTGAAATCCCAATGCTGCATAAATGGAGAGCAGTACTGTTCACGCTCCAGCTGCAGACTGAAATTCTTAAGCGGTCTGGTGACTCCCGTTCCTGTCCTCTCCATCAGGGTAATCGACGGGCGCACCTTGCTGCCTTTGCTGCAGGGGACAGTTCAGCACTCCGGGCACGAGTTCATGTTTCACTACTGCGGTGTGTTTCTGCATGCAGTGCGGTGGCACCAGAAGGACAGTGAGTATAATGAACGTCCCCTCCTGCATATCAGAGATGACCTCTAGCTTCCAGCAGAGTATCACGTAAAAACATACGTACATGTACCTGGTGTAGGTTTATTGCCTCAGACACTCACTTCTGCAAGGTAGAGAATGGCTTCGTTGCTCGCTGTCCTGCCTTGTCTGAGATGAAGGGTTTCACCCCCTGGGTAGCATAGCTTCAAGAATCTCCCTGCCGCTGCAGCGTTTCTACTGCTCTTGCTGCAGAAGCATTCAGGATCAGCTTTAGCATAAGGTTGAAGAAAGGAACTGTGCACAGAAGGTCTTTATCTTAAGCAGCAATTTGTTTTCAATAGTCCTGTCTTACTGGTTTAATTTTTTCAGCTGTGGCATTAGGCAAGCTGACTGTAGTCATAATATTTTCCTGAGCTTTCAACAAGCACACAATCTTTGCTGATGTCACCCTCCATTACAGTGTAAAAGAGAAGGGGCCAGTGACTGGTAGCTGCATCCCTATTCCTGCTCAGAAGGGAGGATGGCATTTGTGTGAGCGAACACAGGTGTCTGGATCTGAGCTTGTTGTTTTATAGTCACTGAAGAGATGCAGACATTTCCAGGGTGTGATTTACCTCTTTCTGATTAGCACATCTGGGCTAGATCACTCAGGCCTGTTTCTCTCCGCTGGGCAAAAAGGGAGCTGAGACCGACCATATCAGACATAAAAATCACCCTCATACTGCTGCAGAGCTGGTGCTTAGGGCAGCCACAAGCAAGTGGGCAGCCTGCTCAGGGTAGCTCACTCTGCCTTGCCTCTTCCCCCAAGCTGGGGCTTTGGATGACCCGATCAATACAACCATGGCTATGAAACAAGGTGATCCCAGTGAGGGAATGTTCTGGTTTTGGCTGGGATAGAGTTGATTTTCTTCATAGGAGCTGGCATAGTGCTGTGTTTTGGATTTAGGATGAGAGGAATGTTGATAACACCCTGATGTTTCAGTTGTTGCTGAGCAGGGCTTACACCAGTCAAGGACTTTTCAGCTTCCCCTGCTCTGCCAGGGGCACAAGAAGCTGGGAGGGGGCACAGCCAGGACAGCTGATCCCAGCTGGCCAAGGGGCTGTGCTAGACCATCTGGCATTATGCTCAGTATAGAAACTGGGGGAAGAAGGAAGGGGGGATGTTTGGAGTGATGGCGTTTGTCTTCCCAAGTCA